CATTGTATTCATCAGGCATCAATGTATTATAAATTTCCTATACCAAATACTCGCTGAATAAAATAATAAAAATTATTAAATGTTTTTATATGAAAAGCAATGCAAACTTTTGAAATTGGAATGCACACACACACACACATATATATATATATATAATATATATATATATATATATATATATACTGTTATTGTCCATAAGAAGCGAGTATGTATTCACGTTGGTAAGTCTATTAGTTTGGCTTTGATTGTTAAATATTTTAGTAATTATTAAAAGCTATAACATTATAGTATTACATTAATAGCTTATGGTTTTATCTATAATATAGTTAAACTTCTCTAGAAATTTATTGCTTTCCTATGGCCCAGAATACTGGCAAATTCAGGTGAAGGTTGGCTGGCCAGAAAACTTTGTTTAAACCTGCATTCCTAGTTCCTAAGGCTGGGAGTTTGCTTCTAGTATTTCTGTGGCTAAATCTTTCCTATTATGACGATAGTTATCTTAGGTTTATAACTATTTTTGTATATTTTTGTAATATATTATATATATATATATATATATATATACTATATTCTTTGAATTAAATGGGACAAATATATTTTTCTTGTTTGAGATTACTAGTGATGTCCTGAACCACCTCAAACCCGTTATATCTGCCTTTAGGTAGTGTGACAGATCAATTTTGACTATAATGTATTCATTTTAATGTATCAGGAACTCAGTTGTGAGCCTTTCAGTGGAGCAGCCGGTAACTTCCTTCGTGGGGATTCGATTCTTTTTTCTTTTGCAAAGGAGTATATATGTATAGTTTCTTTACGTGACTTTCAAACGTGTATTACTTGAGCTATAACTATATGTAGACAATATACAAAGAAAAAGGTTCAGACAAATAAGTAATTTGAATATGTATAATAATGTTTTTCTCTTGCTTTCGTTTTTTCTTCACTTATGACACTTTCTTTAAATTTCACTATGTTACTTGACTGTTGGTGCAGATTTAGGGCAGATGAGTTTAGTTTAATAAGAAAGTTTTCGTCAGTAGCAGTTGCTATGATTTATTTAAATGGATTCTTTGTGATAGTTAAAGTGATAAAAGTAGGAATTTTACAAAAGGTATTTTAATTATTTAATCAATTATTTATTTGCATCACGAAAATAAAAAGGATTAATTACCTAAGAAAAATAAATTTGTATTGTATCTTTATTCTATTTAATTTCGTTCCCAAGCGACCTTAGTTTAAAGATATCTAATGAATCGGCAACCCGAAAACAGGAGGAAAAAAATGTTTCAAGAATTGGATCCAGATAAAAAAAGTTATTGAAAAAAAAACATTGAAAAAATTTAATTTTACATTTTGAAGAGATATTTCATTTTCACAGGATAAACATTTTGCAATATATACTTCTAACTCATTAACATATAATCGGAAAATTGTAAATAGCTGAGTGCTTTTCCCATGTCGAAATGTATTGTTTTGCTACAAAAAAGGGAGAAATCATGAACAATTTATATTTCTCTTCTTTCAGATATATAGGGTGGTTATATTTAAGATGTTCTAATTTAGAGTTACTTAATTTCAGTTTTAATACATGGATATAGTTGTAATTTGGTATATATTTTACTAAACAATGCGGAGAAGAAAACCCCAATAAAGATAATACTTTAAATTTCGATGGAAAAGTAGATGTGTGTGACGGTTTTAATGCAAGCGAAATGATGTGATACAAATATGGAAAACTTTTAAAACCAATAGTGGCTGCACTAACGAAGCTTCCAACTGCAATTAAAACTTCCACTGTATAGTAAAATCAATTTTATTTACAATATTAAATCATCTCACATACACAACTCACCAACTCTAACTCATACTCGCATCTGCTCTACTTGCCCTCCTCTAATCCATCCCTTATATGTCACCAAAGCAGCGCCACCTATATCCTTAACAGTGGCTCCCACAAAATCATTCTACATCATGATGATTATTGATTAAGTTGTGTTATCAAAAAGACAAGAGTTTGTAAACTGCATAGCAAGATATCAACGCTTGAAAGACTTTTGAAAGAGGTATATGTCAGGCAGGTTCTGAATATGAGGAATACTTTATTCGTAGAGATTGGGGAATTAATTGAACTGCAATTACGAGATTGGAAATTGCCTTTTTCTAATGAAAATGAAGCTCTTGAAGTGATCAGAAGAGTGTCAAGTTTTAATTATTCCTTGAAAACTGCCCGAGCGAGTTTTGTCTCCTCCCATGCTAATAAATGTTCTTCGATCAACTGTAAAACGGTATTCGCACAAAATCCACGTTGTTCAAGCACTCAATGCTGCAGACTTGAGCAAATGCATTCAAATTGCTGGAACTTTTAAAAGTAAAATAGCCGCGAACACTGAATCACCTTGGAACAATTTGTGGGCGGATGAAGCGCTTTTTACCCTATAAAGAACAGTGAATACAGAGAACTATTGCATGTAGTTCTGCTTGAGTTAATATTTTGAAAACTTTCAAAAAGGTTTCATTGCAGGTACCCAACACAGCTACCTTCTTGGGCAGTTAGTAATTTCTTCATTAGAAGAACAAATGACTTTAGAGACTACTGTCGTCCTGCAAGAAGGTGCGCCACTTCACATTGCTTGACCAGTGGCGGCATTACTTTATACCCATTTTCGAGATGATCGGATAAAATAATTCCTACATGTTTCTCGAGTGACTGTTACTCTCTTCCTCCAGACTTGAATGCCAATGATTTCTGGTTATGGCAGTTCCTGAAATGTAAGCAAGCGTAATTTGTTATATTGCGGCATTTTATCAAGAGACTCTTCATCCTAACCATCGATAACATTATAACATGACTTTAACATGTGTCTGTCGCAACTGGTGTGATATGGAACATATATTGTGAATAAATAAAAAGAAATTCTGTTTGCAATTTGTGTGGGTTTTTTTTCGGGGGGGGGGTCGTTGTTGATGTTGCTTTTCTTGTGCCCCCTTCTCACCTGGTGATTGAAACTTAAACTATTACTTTATTTCCTATTTCTTTTCTCTGTGGTCCAAATAATGTATTTATCCAGTTTCACAAAAATCCGGCAACCAGAACGTACTGTTCGTAAATTTAAATAGGGTAACTTTAGTTTTATAACCGCCTTCTGATTTAAAAAATTTATCATTATTATTGTAATTTAATAATCTGTATGAATTCTTAAGATTTACATAAATTTCTTATCTAGGCCCTTACAAGCTTTTGAACTTCTTATTAACTACAAAAGAATGCATGAATGTCAAAAACCCTTTTCAGGCTTCCTCCTATTCTCCTTTATTTTATTTTTTGTTGAACCACTAGAGAACCCGAAGAGATGCTTCATTTAAATTTAAGTACTTAAAATATTTTTAAAGCTGTTTAAACTGTTTAGTAATGGAAGAAGTCTTTTCCTTTCACATTTGAAATTCAAATTTAAGTAAAAGATCATACAAACACTTACCTGAAAATGCGGCTTAACTGTTTAATCATACTTCAACATTTGCACGTAGAACACAAGCAAATGTAGCATAAACCATAACATTTTTTTACCTTAGATAAAAGAGGGATCACTTCTAAGGTGATATAAGACTTTCACTAAAAAATATTTTTTTAATTAAGTATGCTTAGAGTCACTACTAAAAGAAATTATTTAGAATAGCTCAAAACATTACAGTTTTCAAGAAAAAAAGGGGATATGAATATTAAAATTATATATGTCAGTTTACTTTTAAGAAAACTTAATTCTTATATCCTTAAAATTTCTGAAAAATCAATTTCTGGTTTTTCTTAGACCTAATACTCTCACGTTTTAAGGATCATAATGTGAACTTTAGTTTCAAGAATACCAAAGCACATAATACGTTTAACATTTCTTTACATGTGCAAGGGTTGTTTTAAAATACTTTTTTAAAATTTAAAAAAAACAAGCACATATAATTTTTTTCCTCAATCGTACAGTTACCTTCGGAACTCAATCTTCGTAAGAGTCGGCCGACTGATTTGACGTCGTCCTCATACTCTCAACTTTACCCCAAAACACTTCTTCAGTTGCAAGAACAAGTGGTAATCTCAGTTTCAATAGAGAACCTTCGCGAAATAAAAATATCTACAATCAAAACGCCATATTTATTCCAAAAAAATTTTGCTAATAGCTTTTTTTCTTCGACGAGTAAGCATTTGATTTTGTTTTGCTGAATCAATATTTTCAGAACCCAGTTCAGCACAACTTTCAATAATATAAGCATTCTATCATAATTTTACAAAGGAAACTTCTCAAAATTCACTAATTAAGGAGGAAATCAAACGAAATCTAGTTTTTTGAGCTTAGGTTTTTAATTATGACGAATGGTTAACTACTTCGTTCTTCGATGTGCATGTTTCTATGGCCATTTTTAACAGTTTTAACAACGTTTTCTTACCATTTCAGTGGTTTAAGTTTTTCTCCATACATTTCTAAACTGCCTATCATTTTTGTACTCTTTTACGTTTTTTATGTATTTAAGTTTCAAATGACAGCGCGTCTTCCATATGTTTTTGTTTTATGTATTTAAGTTTCAAATGACAGCACGTCTTCCACAATCGGTAGGATTTACATTTACCCGACATTTTAAATGTATACAAAAGTTCAACACAAGAGTACGTTTTCGCAATGGTGCATATCGACTGCATATAAAGATATTAGGCAACTGCAATCAGAGATATTTCTAAAATATACTTACTTAAAAGCGTACCTAAGGAAACAAGTAATTTAAAACAAAAATTAAGTCAATTCCTACTTAGGTCAACAAAGAAAATTTGTATATATTTTAGTTACTTTTTATTAAATAGTTACAATTAATATAAATATGCATATACATGTGAAAGAATCACAATATTGAGTGGGGGGAAGTGTGTGTGTGATTTTCCTTTCTATATATGGTGTTGGACTATAATTTTTGTTTGTTACTATTTATTCGTTCATAAATCACAGTCTCAGAAATTAGGGCATCCTAGGTAGGATTCGAGCCCACGCCCTTTGGATTACCAGTCCAACGTGCTACCCATTACGCTACAAGGACATAACAACGGTTTTTACTTTTTATATATGGTGTTGGACTATTGTTTATGTTAGTTACTATTTATTCATTAATTAAGTTTAACTAATGAATTAATATTTTTAAAAAAATGTATTAACATTATCCACTACTTTAAAAAAATGTATTTGAACTTGAATGGATGAGTAGAAAGTATGTTATTAACGATTGAAAATTTTTACAAGATATATATATATATGTATAGGGAAATTGTGAACTAATAGTAGGAATTGGAAAAAAATCCTAACATTCTCAACCGATTAAAAATTACTGCGCTTTATTCGAGATTAACTCGTATTCAGATTGTAGAAATCTAAGCTACAAAATTAAGATGTAGAAAGCAAGTTTATCCTAAAAAAATACAGAAAATTACTTCTTCCCCCCCTTTTTTTTTTTCAGCAACTGGATATCATTAGATCTATAACTTCCCGGATAAATAACTACAAAAGGTATGAATTAAATTGAGAATATGTTTTAGAAGAATTAATCTCCGGAGAGAGAAAAAGGCCGCTACAGTAAAACTAAATTTAAATGTAAGATTCAACAAATTTTTATTGTTTCGCTTTATTCGGGATTAACTCATGTTTAGATTATAGAAATCTAAGCTACAAAATTAAGATGTAGAAAGCAAGTTTATCCTAAAAAAATACAGAAAGTTATTTCTTCCCTTTTTTTTTCAGCAACTGGATATCATCAGATCTATAACTTCCCTGTTAAATTACTAAAAATGTATTAATTAAATTGAGAATATGTTTTAATAGAATTAATCTCAGGGGAGAGAAAAAGGTCGCTACAGTTAAACTAAATTTAAACGTAAGATTCAACAATTTTTTTTAAAAAAAATTAGTTTTTTGAATAGATTTCTTTGCATTATACTTCCTTAATTCTTAAAATGGTAAGAAAAATATATAGAAAGATGAAATCATTCCTATATTAGGAATGCTCTAGTTTATAACAGATATCGATCATGCAGAATATATGAAAGAAAGAATGCAATTAAGTAATTAGTTTCATGTAGTATTTTACTCAATGCCTCTTAGATAAAACAATTTTCTTCGAATATAAGTGCTACTTAATTGAAGACAACTTATTCTGAGCTTCTTTATTTAAGCTTTTTTTTCTTCCTTTCACTGAAAGAGATTTTATTTCCTATATATTTTTTATTCAAGGATTCTATGTAAAATCTTTTTGCATAAAAAGTTATCAAAACTCGTCTTATTTTACATTTTAGTGAGAAAAAAGAAAAAATATTGACTGCAAATCTTTGAATACGGCAAATATGCTGCTGACAAAAAACAGTTTAATGCCTCATTTCTTAGAGATTTTTACAGATTAAAAAAAAAAGCCAGTTAAATTGGTGGTTGTCTGTATCATGCATGCGTGGGTGTTCTGGTTATCACGTTGCATGGGAATGACATCATGAGAATTCCTTTTCGTGCCTTAAAAATAATTCGCAAAATGTTTTATCATCAAGAAATGCATCTCTATTAATCATTAAAAAGTAAGAAGAGTGTGTTTCTTTTTTTCGAGTAAAATTTTTTATGTTGCGTAAAAATATTTTTCAAGATTCATCAAATAGTTGTTTACAAGTTATTTTTAAAAATATTGTTTTATTTAAATGATTAAGTTGACTATATCTTGAGTTTTCAGGAATAATTAAATTAATATTTTTTTTGTTTTCGTTAATCTAATTTATTAACATTATACAGGTAAAAAGTATTCATATTCCGAATTTTTAACTCAGGAGCTTTTTTTAAACTCATAAAGTAAAAAAGTAAAATGAGAAAAAATATCATATAAAAATATTTCATGCTAATTAGTACTTTCAAGTATTTAAAGAAAATGATATATTATATTACTTTCGTAACATAAAAGTGTTATTCATTAGTTAAACACATTTTATGTTTAAATATTAAATTAGAATTTTTTTACACTTCTCTTGAGAAATAATTCGAACCTGAAAAATTCAAGGCTCTCTTCGAAACGTGTAAAATTGCGACATAGAGAATTATTCTGAAGGAAGCAAAAATGTATTCAGTAATCTTGTTTTTAAAACAACTCCTGAATTAAAAAATTATTAATTTTTGAACCATTAATTAAAAACGAAGTATTATCAGTATTGCATCTTAATATATAGCAAATGCTTCTGAAAATAACTTAAGTACAACTGAATTAATGAACAAAATGGTTAATCAAAATATTTTGGAATGTTTTGTATCACTCTTAAATAGTAAATAGCATCAAATTTGTGTCTTATCAAACTCATTCAACTTCGAAAGAGCCGATTTCTTCGTGCTTCATGGCAAAAATTTGCCTTGATGTCGTGTTGATTACATTAATTTATTTACACTGAATATATAAAACATTTCCATGACAAAAATATAATTTTTCCACATATCTTATAACTGGATTTATGTGTCTCTTTAATAATTGGAAATTTCTGTTACAGAAAAGATCTCTCATTAAGACTTGCTTCACCTAACGGGAAATAGCCCAATCTAAACTTCATATAAATTTTCATATAAATTGGTGTCTCTCCTTCAATGTTAAAATTCATTGGTAATTCATCTATATGTTGACTTTACTGTAGTAAAAATTAAAAACATTTTAAAAAATAATCATATATTTCAATTAGTCATGTACATTTTTAAATCATTTTAACATTACTATATTTTTTTCCGAAATATGGAACCCATCATAAATCAAAATGGTTTAACACATTTTCAAAAATGAATATTATTATAATACATGCAGCTTTCGACAGAGAGGGAAGTCAGAATATAATAGTAATGTTCAAGCATTTTTTTTATTGCAAAAATAGTGGTGTAAATGTTCTGTTCTTTCTAGGCGTTTTTGAGTAACGTTTCAAACCTAAAGTCACAAAATGTCTTGCGATACTTAAGTGTTTCAACGTTCTTATTATAATTTGACATAGATTATTAGAGAGAGTGGTGTATTATATAATACTACTTAAATTTATATCTGAGTAGATCCAATATTTATTTTAACCCTTTACTACGGACAGTACTTATAAGTACCACTCACTGTAAAATTACATAGAACAACAATTTTTGCGGATATTCTGAAAATATTTGTATATAGGAATACTCTTTTAATTCCTCTCTTCTAGATACACGGCAGCATAGGTTCTATAATGAGTATTTTGTCGGGGAAGATGATTATACTTTTAAAGCAGAAGTTACGCTTTCAGGTGACATTTTGATCGGATAGTGATGATTCTCTTTTTTGTTCCTAAAAAGGATTTATTGCCAAAAGGTAAGTGTCTTATTTTTTGTATGTTAGTTAAGACCTTAGAAAAAGATTTAACTATTTATTTTAAGTGAACAGTGTATGTAATTAATTTTACAGTTGAATTACTTTGTAGTACTTATAAGTACCAACAACACAATGGATGTTAGCGCAAGAACTGTTTTTTTTTTTCGTCCGTGTAGTTTATTGTTCTTTTTTTTTGTTGTGTTGTTGCGTCATTACTGTAGTGCAATAGAGTTATGCTTTTTAGCATTTATTTTTAGCTTAACTTATTTATATTGTATATTTATCTTTCAGTCTTGCGTTTTCAAAAAATTTTCAACTTTGAATCTGCGCTTGTTTTTTTACCTCACCATTAAATGCAATATCGATAATTTATTCAAAAATTAGCAACATTTTAATTTCTTTATGTGTAATTGACATTTAACAATAATAGGAGGTTTTCAAGGTGCTATTATTTACTCCCCCTTCCCTTTTCTTAGAGTGTCTGAAAAAAAGAAACTCGCTCTTCATGATTCTTTGGATTTATTACAGAACCTATCATTTGAAAGCAGTGATGCATTATTATATATATATATATAATAGATGATTCTTTAGATAAAGAAGTCACAGCAAATTATCTGCTGTAATTTTCATTAGATTCTTACGATGACAATCAAGAGAATAAACAAGACTCAAGGGGCAGTAGTTCATGTTCAGAAAATACAGTACTTCCTACCCCAGGATGCAGTGCTTTAAAAATCATTCAATCGAAACCTCACTCAAAATGCACAACTCATAATTTATTTTTGTCTATTAATGAAAAGAAAAACTGCTTTCTTGAATATCATCAAATTAAATTTATGGGTAAAACCTTCTTTTTTGTGCCGTAAAATGTAAGTGTTCTATGGTTATTTTAGCATTTATAAGAGTTAAAACTCAGGGTCATTCATTCATCTTTTCGGTTAAGTCATTCGGTCTTTTTGTATTATGATAACATTTTAAACCTTTGTGTACTGACGGTGCTTTAAAGTACTATTTTAATTAATTGGACCTAATCGATTATGTTTCCCAAATTTGAGTATTTTATTTATATCCTTTAATTTCAATGTAGTGATGCAAAAAAATTGCTCGAAATGATTGCAGTAAATCATAATACCGTAGATAAAGGGCTAAAATGTGTTTGATTCTATCTCGTATGCTAAATGTTCCAGTTCGCATCTTAAAGGTAAAAATTGTTTTTTTATACAACAATCTCAATTGTAAAAGATCAGTACTATAAACACGTGTATAAATTAGTACATTAAGATTTTTCATGAAAATTAAAACACTTCTCTTTTTAAAAACAACTTCTAAGTGAAGTCTCTTTTACATTTGAAAAAAAAGACAATACGTAAAAACGCAAATAACATATATGAAAAGGCTTTAATTGAATCTTCAAAAGTGAAGAAAACGTTATTTTTCATTATTACTAATCAAGAAATACATAATATTTCAACAAAATAGCTTAACTAAGTGCAATGCAAAGAAACTTGAAATCATCGAAAAATACGTATGTTATCACTACGTATGTATTAAATAATTTTGAATAATTCTTTCATATGTCACAGAAAAATTATAAAATGCTGTAACAAAGATGATTGATTTACAGATTATAATAATTATTTGATTGATGAGCCATAGAAAATGAAATGTTTGCATGAAAAATATTAAACAATGTGTCTGTCATAAGAACA